GTGACAGAGTGAGACTCTGTCTCAAAAAAAAAAAAAAAAAAAAGAAAAAAAAAGAAACAATGTTGTTCCAAAAATGTTACCTAGAAGTGTTTTTTTTTGTTTGTTTTTAATTTATGAAAAAGATGCTATAGTCTCAAGTTAAGTCTGAAAAGATTAACTTTTCTTTGCAGGAGTATCAGTAATGTGACCCAATTATATGTCATAAAATACAAAACTAAAAGAAGTTTATGTAATTCATAAAAATGCAAAAAAATACCTGGCATGAGGGCATGAGTATATTATTTTCTATACTTTTTAAAGTTTTTTTTCCTCCACTCGGGTTTTAGTATGTTAAAATCATCAAATAAATGCTGGATTATCTATAAATATATTACAGGTACACAAACATATATGTCTTCATGTATGCTTTAGGCATGTCAGATAAATTAATATTACTTTACTGTAATATTAATGAATGCATTTTACTATTCATAGTTTAAAGGACTGAATATCATTCAATCACATGAACATTTTAAACATTTTTTGCATTATGTTTTAAATTTTCTCTTAACTAAAGAACAGCAATGGCACATACCCAACAGAGGAGAATTTTGAAAACTCTAACAAAATTATATATGCTCTTATCCTAGCCTAGCAAGGCTAATTCTAGAAATTTACCCTGAACCTACGCTTTCATAAGCACCAAATAATATTTTCATAAGGTTTTCTTATGAAACCTTAGAAACTCATAAGGTTTCTAATTTTTGTATTTTTAGTTATGATTTTTTTTGTAAAAGATAAAAAACACAAATAACATAAGGGGCTATTGGATAATGGCTCATTTCCAAATGAGTTACAGTATAAGGACAAAGACAAGTGCAAAAAAAATCTAAAACTTCAATCAGAAGTAAAGTTATATTACTACTGTTATAATAACTTTGAAGTTATTTATGTGTTATAACATTCAGCGAGTAAATCTAATGTTTCTCACATCCAAGTTATTTCAAGTTAAGAGAAAAGAAACATAACTATGAAAAAGCAAAAGTTAAAGGAAAGAATCTGGTAATGTAATATTCAAATGTAAAGTGTCAATAGGAACTTATAATTTGCTAACTGAAGAATATTTTCTTGTTTTGCCCACTGAAAAACTATAAACCTTTCAAGCTTATAGGCAGAACTTTCAATAGTCATGAAACAGAGGAGGTGGGTGGATAAGTTAAACAATACTGTAGTCAACAATCAGACAAAATCCAAACAAGCAATATTCTGTAAGACAAGTTATATAGTACCCTAAAAAAAAAATTTTTTTAAAAAAGGGGGGGGCTATCTTGATTAAAGATACTAAACAGATGTGACAGCATATCAAATGCATATGTATGTATGTATGTGTGTGTATGTATATATATATGGTGAAGTAGCTAGAGAGGGAATGAAGTTCAAAAGCAACTATGGCAACTCTTAATTACTGAATCTAGGTGCCATGACTTCAATGTCTATCTCCTTCAAATCCCATGTTGAAATTTGCCTCCCAATTGGAGATGGGGCTTAATGGGAGAATGGGAGGTGTTTGAGTCATGAGAGAGATCTCTCATTAAAAGATTAATGCCCTCCCTGGGGATGAATGAGTTCTCACTCTGTGAGTTCCTGAGAGAGCAGGCACCTCCCCACTGACTTTCTTGCTTCCTCTCTGGTAGTGAGTTACATGTCTGCACACACTGGCTCCCTTTCTATTTCTGCCACGAGTGAAAGTAGGTTGAGACTTTCACCAGATGCCCAGTCTTCCAGCTTGCATAATCTCTAGCCAAATAAACCTTTTTTAAAAATAAATAAATAAATTACTCAGTTTCAGGTGTTCCTTTTGAGCCATGCAAAATGGACTAAGATACTAGGTGAAGGCTATGCAGATGTTAATAGTACCAGTCTGTCTTTCTGTATCTTAAAAGTTTTCTCAAGGAAGGGAATGGTTTCCCAAGTTAAAAATATACAAAGATATTTAAATGACATAGTAAGATGTATTGTGTGGTCCAGGACTAAATCTTGGGTTGGGCAGTCCAGCAGTAAGTAACATGCATTTGAGGGACATTTGAGGAAATTTGAACAAGAATTGCTATTAGATGTGATGAAAACTTCTGACATGAACAGGAGAGGTTATTACTGGGGAAAAATGACATTAATAAAGTGAAAAACAGAATGTACTATGTGGTTCTTTTTTTAATTAAAAAAAAGTGTGAATACAGAAGCTTGGTATAGTGATGATCTCTGATTTGTAGGAATGTACCAGATTAATTCCTTATTTTTCCTTATCTCTTTTTGTCATTTTTTACAATGAACATATGTATTTTTATAAGAATAAAATATTTCAAAATAGAAATATATTATTTAGAAAACTCATCACTGCTAAAATGAATATGAAATTATTTGTACAATGTATTTACTTTCTTTTCAAGACCTACTTTCTTACAAAATAAAATAACTTGGAAAATTTTGTGGTAACAAAGAATTTAATGACAATTTTGTTTCTAAAATGTAATTATTAAAAATAAATATTAAATATTGGAGAATTTTACTTTTAATTTGACAATATATTGAATGCATTATACTTTAAAGCCCAAGAAGATTAATCTATATTGTAACTGATCCTCCTAGCTTATAATATGCCCAAAGTGGTGAATCATAAAAAGGAATCTTATCTTTCAATTTATTATTTTCAGTACAATGTAGTCACGGGAAGCCATTTGTTCTCATTAGGTGAACTTTACTATTTTCTTGCAGTTGTCTTCATGTTCTATTTGCTTAAAATGACAGAAATTTATTAGCCTTTTCTGTCCACTTTACATTACAAATACTAGAGTATTAAAACTTTTATGGAAAGAGAAAATTTAGTATCATATATTTTCATTATACGTGTGTCTCTGAACGTATTCAGGCTATTATAGTATTTTTTCCCTTCATTTTACTATTTTAAAATTAAAAAGTGATTCTGGGTTAGACTTTCATTAAATATATGAATGTTAGGAGCCTTAAAATATACGGAAAAACAGAATTCCAGGTTTCTAAAATGTATAAAATAACATAAAAAAATACATTCTCTCTTTCACATTCATTCAACTAGTCTTTGTATAATAGATTGTGAATGCTAGTCATCTTCATAATCTTCAGTTCTTAGTCTTAAGCATTTTGTGGATTTTTTTTAAGAAAATGGTTGGCAATAACGTGTCTGCCTCTGTGTGTAATATACAGTTATAGTCCTGAGGTTCCTTTTATCACAAAGTATTTCACCCCTATTCATTTATACAGTCATGTAAAAGAGAGTGAGAGAGAGGGAGAAAGAGAGAGATTCCAGACACTGAGATTGTAGCAGTGAATACCAAGCATACACCGCCAGACAAATTTTTTGTCTTCATAAACCTCGTATTCTAGTGAATGAAGGTAGGCAATAAATTAGAAACCAAAGAAGTAAACAAGAGAATTTCATACCATGTTAAGGGCATAAAGGAGATAAACAGAAAGATGAGATTAAGAGAAACCAGGTGAAGGGAAGGAGCCATTGCCTAGAAAAGAGCCATCAATGATGACGGTTCTGCCAATGTGGCATTTGAGCTGGAACTTGAGTGATGAGTCACTGTTCACAGAACTAGAACAAGCATGGTAGCAGGAAAAATCATACTATCAAGAACATTCACCTCTTAATCCTGCTGAGTGTTTGAGGATTTCCTCTATTGCTTTTGGTCTTGTCATGTTGCATTTAGGCTCTATATATGCTAATGTATATAACACCACAGATAAATTTGCAGAAAATAGAAAACGCAAACACACAGCTTACATAGTATTTCTGGTTTGAAACACACACACACACACACACACACACATACAACACACACATATTGAATGGCTCACTAAGGCGTATAGGATAGAACCCACACTCCTTGATCTAGCATCCATGGCTGCTAAAATTGTACCCTTTCCTATTTATGCAATTCAAACACCTACTGTTTTCAAACTAAAACCTTTCATTCCACCTACACTGATTCATTACAAATTGTTATTTTTTAAGATTTTAGGTTTCATTTTAACCATTTCATCTGGAATACCTCTGCTCCACATTATATCTCTATTTTAAGCCAAGCTCCAATTTCATATCCTTGATTGGACAACGCAAATGAGGAGTGATTTCTCTTTCTGTAGAATTCCTTCAGCAGTTATCAGTTCTATTTAACCTACTTTCATGTTACAGTTAACCAGTCCTATATAATGTTGCCAGTTCCCTATATTAACATGTATATGTCCTATTTATTATAATTTACCATCTTTGTAGTATGGCTCATATTTTCCTATATTCATTTATATCACTAACTACAATTTTACATTCTTGGGGACAGATGTGATATTCTATATTTCTTGGAATTTATAGTACTTTTCATATATATTACCAGCACAAAATGAAGTATCTTCTTGTAAAAAGAGCAAAATATTTTGAAATGTCTTATATTTGCCATCATTAATAACTACAGTAAAGTTTAGAGATTAAAATATAATGAGACAATAATTGTGGCAGATTAACAAAATTCTGTTGAAGCTTTGTGTTTAGTACTTTGCATGGTGACTATGGATTACAAAAATACCAGGACAGCCACAAGAGACTTATGTAGTACTTAATTATTTAATTTTCTTGCAGTTTTTTTTATGCTGGGGAATATGTAAAGAAAAATGTTGATTAAAACTTGTTTTTGTACTCTAATTATAAAACCAAGGAAATGGGAAAAAAATGCCAATTAATCTTCCTTCTTTCATCTCATGTTTGGTAGTAGAACATATTTAATTGGAAGCTGGGAGCTTATAAGCATTACCAATATACTTGTTACAAATATTAAGAGCAATTTTTGGTTGAGAAAATCATAAATAGAACCGTTTTATGTTGGTGTGTGTTAAAAGTGTTTAAACATTTTAAATATTCATATTAAGTAAAATTTCATTTTATTTTATTGATTTCATTCATTTCTTTTTGTTTTCTTCTTTTCAAGGCCCTGTGGAATCCTACATACACTGAAGGTTTATTTAAATCAGTACACATTTCAACTTAGCTTAAATCATTATTTGACAATAAGAAATGCATCCCTAATCTGTGACATGCAAAATATTGAGTAAAATCAATTTTTTCATCATTTCCTATTTTAAATGTGTAATATAGAAATATTTTCATTTCAAATACTTCACAGTTTTTGCATTTGCAAAAATCATAAATACTGATGAATTAAGATTCAACAAACATATGTCTGCTTTATTCTCATTGTATTTTTAAAACAAAAATAGATTTTTGTTTAAAAATTATTTCTATATCATATATTCTAAAATGTAATATTCCACTTGGCAGTAAGTATTTTTTTTTCACTCTTCTCATCCATGTCATTGATTTCCCTGGTTATAATCTTAATTTAATTTCATCACATATTCTATGTACATTAGATTAAATTTGAAAACAATGCCTTTAGTATCTTCCATCTTAGTAGGAAAGTTCCTACTGAAGAACAAAATATCTACAATCTTCATTCTTTTGCATCAAGACCAAAAGATGAAAGCAGTGTGTCTTTAAATGAATAAATAATGAAGAGTCTCATTCATAACTGTTATATTTATTTCTGTTATAACAGAAAATGTAACACCTATTTAGATCCCTAAATAGTTGAGGACTATTTATTAGAAATTAACCTCATATTTAAGAGAGTCTCCTGAATGTATCATAAAAGGATATCTGTGCCTGGACTTGACATTGCTTCCTGATTTCTGTGTGTCATGTTTGTTGCCTTTATTACAGGTCACTTTAATTATGAAGTGACCAAGTGGCTACAAGGCACTCCTGAATGTTGTAGTTTACTGCAAGGATAGGTGACAGAGATAGACAGCCCAAAGAATGGTTCAATGTTGTGGGCAGGGTTCAGGGCAATAGAAAAGCCATAGAACCAAGAAGAAGAAAGCCTGTTTTACCAAGAGTTCTCTGTGTCATACAAACAGACAATGAAGTAATCATGGTTAATGGTGGTAACCATTATAAATATGTTATGAAACTACTTAAATTATTTCAATCATTATGTAACATATATTATGAATCATAAATGCTGGATGTAAAACATGGTATTAAAATAAAAATTATTAATATATTTATTTATACAAAATGGTGTATTTGCTCTTGTTGATTTTGACCCTTAAAACACCCTCTGTGATCTAAGATACAAAAACTTTTTTGATTTTCTAACAGTTTTCTAGAGTTCCATCTTTTATCCTTTTCTTATCTCTTTCTTTTTATTGTCTTATTTTATATTTGAAACCTTTAAATGTAGATAATGCAAAACTCCATCCCCTTAAATTAAAGCACTCCCCTTGTAAAGATTTTTATCTACATGAATGGTCAATACCGTATTATCTTGAAGAAGCAAGAATTCAATTGAAGATCTTTTGACCAGGCTACCAAGACAAAATAATTTGTATTAGCAACTGAAGTAAGTCAATAAAGAAAGGTACAAGTTTTTTCTGCAAAAGCTATTTAGCAGAAGCTTTAACTACAGACAAGAAAAGGTCACCTATTTCAAAGGTACAATTTCCTAGTTTATTTTTAATACCAGCAAAATCCTATATTTTCTTCTCCCCTCCTTCCCTCCCTCCCTTTCTTCCTTCCTTCCTTCATTTCTTTTCTCTCCTCCTCTTCCCTCCCTTTTCTTTCTCCTTTTATTCTTAGGTTGTAATGGAAACAATTCTAAATATACATCAATGAACATGTTTACACATCAATAATTTTATTTTCAAGTGGAAACATTTTCAGACTTTCTCACAGTGTTCATTATATAATTTGTCTATTAAATTCTTAAAATGTTTTGTAAATATTTATTTGATTACATTAAAGGTGAAATTAAAATAGGGATTAATGGGGATGTTGTTTTTATTTTTAGAAAAATCTGTTAGTGTTGTGATTTTTGTGCTATATTGCAAGATATAACAAAATTATGGTTGATAATTATTTCCCAAAGGAGGGACAAGAGACATCAGCATTTATTGATTAAAGACCGTTATTATCAACTATTATGCCAGCATGCTTGTCCAAAGTGCTCTCACAGTTATTAATCCAAAATATAAGATTGAGCAAACTTGTCTTCATCTTCCAAATAAGAAAGTAAAATTTGAAGAGGTCGAGTAACTTCCTGAAATTCATATAACTTTTCTAATAAAAGACAAAGCCATAGATTGTTCTCAGATGCTGCAGATCAAAAGTCAGGGTTTTGTTTTGTTTTCCTGACTCCAAAATGTTGGTGGGTTGTAGAATTGCAGAACTAAATACAATGTATGTATTGATTACACATGCAAACATATAATTTTATATTATGTATACATTATATTAGTAAGCTTGAATTTTGAAGTACTCTTTATAAACTAGGGATAATCACAATGATAAACATTTATTATGTGAATGCCACCTACTTTGACTAAGGTGTAAAACGTATGAGTTAAGGTAATTATTTTATAAGAATAAGAATTATTTATACAAATATAGAGAAATACATGGAAGGAAATCCGTGGACCCTTTTGCTAGGTACTTCAGTTACTATGAACATATTTTTATTTATGTTTTAAATCATTCTGATAATTTAATTTTACCTACAAAGTTTTAGAATGTAGGCAATCACCATTAACTCTTGTTTATTACATATAACTATGTTTTAAATGATTTTTAATGAAACCCTAAAGTAATATGTTTTTATATGTATGTTACTATGTCATATACATATGATTTTAGTGTGACAAACATAAAAACTTCCTTGAAGTTATCTAAATTGTATCATTTTTCTTAGTTACCGAAATTTAATACTGTTTTAAATATTTGTTTCTTTATAAAATAAAATGTACTTTCTTTTTCATATTTAACTTGTGACTAGAAGCAGAAATCCCCAAATTTAACAAGGAGATGCTTTTTATGTTGTACTTTGGACTTACTTCTCCTTATAGTACTCTCCAAATACAGTGATATACTACTTTTAATTTCTCATTGTTATCACTCTCTCTAAAACAAATCTCTATCTTACCTGGTACTTTTTTAGGTAATCACCAGTATTTTATGCTGGCACCTGGAAGAAGAAACAGTAACACTAACTCATTTTCAAACATGTCAATTTCATTTGCTATATTTACTTGAAACAAGTCTACATGTCAATGAATTGATTGATGTGTATATCCCCCAATGGGGGAAAGAGAAAACTATTCTTGTTGGTGTTAATTAGCATTAAGAGTTGTTAGAATATCCTGTCTTCCAACTGACATCTGTTGGATATCTGAATTTGCATAGTGGAGAAGAATACAATAGGCTATAAATGGGGTAAAGAAGAGATATGTAAGCTCGTTATTTTATCTTTTACACCAAATCATACTTTTTGAATCTATGTATTGGTACTCTCTTGCTTCTCTTCTATGAAAACATTTTTCTATCTTTCTGTTTTCCTCTTTGATTTTTTGTATGGGGATGCACATACAAGAAATCGATGAACAAGAGTCTGAAATGATAATAAAATATTTTCTGGCTACTTTCTTACTCTCTAAAAGCTGTTTGCCTACTTACTTTGTAAAATTGTGGTCACATTATATATGGGCACACATACACTTATATAGGAAATGAGAGTTTCCTCATTTAAAAGCTATCTTTTTTTCTCCTTTAAAAAAAAAAAAGGAAACGATATGGAGGAGAAAATATGTAGGTAGCATAAGTATTCTTTGGGAAGAAAGGACAAATTTCCTGACTCCCAGAAAGAAAACTGGCAGGTGAATGTTAATTTGATCCTGACAGAAAAAAGCAATTATTGCAGCAAGGGTAAAAAGATTGCTTATTTCCTCTAAGATGTAGCTTAGATGTTTTAACTCTCCTTTAAAAAATTATATATACATAAACTATATATATATAATTATATATGTTTATATATAATTATATATTTATATATAATTTCATATATTTATAAATATATAAATACTTATATAAATATATAAATACCTATATATTTATAAATATATATAAATTCTATAAATATATATGTTGTGTGTGTGTGTGTGTGTGTGTGTGTGTGTGTATATATATATATATATATTATGAGATAAAGGAAGTATTCCCTCACCCCTGTAATGGAGAATAGCTAGTAACTTAAGCTTTGATGAACAGCCTGGAAGGCGTATGTACTAATAATGTTGAATATAATGGTTGGGAAGAGTGAATGAATGTCATGGCATCATGCTTAGGCTCTTAAGGAAACTCTTCTTAATGAGGGTGGCAAGATTCCTGACCTGAGAAGAAATTTCTGTGTACCTGCTTACTAAAGTTACCAGAGTAAGATTGAAAGAACAAGTAACTTTGTTTGGCAAGACATACGCTACGCAGATTTTAATTTTCTTTACCTCATGGTTCACATATTCCTTAAGAAGTTACTGTGTTAATATAGGTTTAGGGTTCAATTTATATTTCTAGTACAATTTTTATAGAATGTTATTTTGTGATTTATGAATTTGAGATAATGACCATCTGACAGCCATTCGGTTGCAGCTACATTAATTTTAAGAATAAGATCCTCAAAATTCATAACTAACCACTTGCAAACTACCTTATGTGTTTCAGTAATGCTATGCAACAGGAGTAAAACTTTATGCAATGTACTAATAAACACATACTCAAAAAGAGAGAGAGAAAAACACAGAGACAGAGACAGAAAGGGGGCAATATTGTTCTGTCACCCAGGCTGTAGGGCAGTGGTGCAATCATGGCTCACTGCAACCTCAACCTCCTGGGCTCAAAAAGTCCTCCAGGCTCAGCCTCCAGAGTAGCTGGGACAACAGACGTGCACCACTGGGCCAGGCTAATTTTTAACATTTTTTATGGAGACGGGGTCTCGCTATGTTGCCTAGGCTGGTCTCAAACTCCTGGCCTCAAAGCATCTGCCTGCCTCAGTCTCCCAAATTGCTGGGATTACAGGCATGAGCCACTGCCCCCAGCTTGTTACTATTTTTTATCAGAAGGTAAACTTTAGAAACAAGTAACCAATTTGTATTGATTTAAAAAGTGAAAAATATCTGGTAGAATGCTATGTATCCATTGAAAACTTACTGTTGGTTATTAATGAAAAAAAAGTCAACAGCTGGTGAGCTAAAACAAAAGATTAAATTGTCAAATTAAACTCATACTAATCAGATATCTTACCCCAATATCAAGACTTACTATTCATTTCAAAGGTACTGGCACTGAAGAACTCAGATGAGACAGGAACAGGTCTGTGGTATAGAAGGCAGCTCTCCAGGACCTTTCATTCTACATTGAACATCCACTCTCTGATCCACAGTCATAGATCAGATCTTCAGGAGACGGTTTTTGAAATTACCTCACACAGCAGAGAGAGTGTTTTATTTATTAAACATCTCTATTTTATATCCCAACATTGTGACATTTTCCAGGGTGCCATGCTCATAAATCCATAGATTTTAAGTTCATTTAGTCAAATAAGTCCTTAACCCAGGACATGGTGTAAACATTTCCATATGTAAGAGCCCTCCTTCTACCAAATACTATTGCATATTGACCTGAAGGACTAATTTACTTGTTGACAAGAGATTAGAAGTTACCTTTTTGCTTTCTTGTGAAGACAAATCAGTTGCTATAATTCCTTCTGCCCCACCTGTTACATCTCCACCATTCACTCTGAGCATGATATATTCCATTGGCATAAATGGTAACTCTAATGCCTTGAATTTTTCATGTCTCTGTCATTGTGAAGAAAATGTTTTATAGGAAATATTTATCTGATTGAGACCACAGTTATTTTGGTTTCTCTTCCATGTTTTGAATGTTTTAAAACACAGTTGAAGTGAGCAATAGAGGAGATTGCTTTTCTTGCTGATTATGTTTCCGCAAACTCAGGAATTGCAATTCTGAAGGACAAAAAATTTAGTGATTTAACTGGAAAAAAAACTAAAAGTCAATTTTTTTTTCTGGATGTGTGTCATAATATACTACAGAAATAAAAATTTAAATGTATATATCATATTTTAAATTAGAGATATCTTTTAAAAAATATTTTTTCCATTTGCTATTTATGCAGAATTACTCTTGCTAGAATAACAACACATACAGCTAATTGGAATGGATCATGTTCGT